AGGGTGTGTTTGCATCCTTTGTGGATTCCCCGCCGCTAGATCAACAACACGAGTGAGGCCGAGAGGTGTGTTGATCCTGTAATGGGGTGACGTTCGCAATGAGAGGAGGAGGGCCAAACAAAAGGACACGAAGCATAATGCACTACTATGAGGGCTCTTCCTACTGTCACTACAAGAATGCAACATAGAATGAGCTTGGATCTTCATCTTGTTTCAGGTTTGGTTCGAAAATACGCTAGCCAATGCTCTCCACTTCATCTAGAAATGATTCCTTTTGGAAAAGGTCGCACGTTCACACAATATCCCGCTCGAAGTCGAAATATTCCCTGACCAGTGTGGAAATCCACACTAATATACACTGGGCAGAATACTATAGTGTTTGATTCGCTTTTGCTGAGAACTCGGTTGTTTGTGTCGATATATCCACTTCTGCGTCTAACGTCAGTCATCTGCAGGTAGATCGGGGGGACAACATTCACCTTGGTTGCCGCCAACTCAGCTTTTGATACCTCCCTTGCTACCGGCAAAAAAAAGATAAGTAGAGACATGTGTCGTTCAGCCAATGGCTCAATCCATATGCAGCGAGTACCTTAAACGTAATGCCGTGCCCACTAGTGTGAAAAACTGTCTCCACACCCATATGTGGAATTGCTTTCAAAATTTGTTGCCACTTTTGTTTCATTTGTCTACCAAGGCTTCTATAAAAATAACAAGTTAGTAAATTTGTGATATTGATGAGGTTGTCTTCTGTAATCACAAACCGGACATTCTTCTCAACAACTTGAGTTGGGTTGCTTGCGATCACGGATGCTTTCGGTCGCTTGAAGACTGCAGAGTCGAACATACGTCGAATACCACTCAATGTCGCTCCAATATCAGCAATACAGATAGTTTTGGTTTGCAGCGCTCGTTCAGATTTTCCCGTGTTACTTCTCCGACAGAATCGATAGTATCCACCACCTTGATCAAGTGGCCCATCCAGCTTTCAAAGCTTCGTTTGCCTTTGTCGACAACGCATTCTGCGATGCGCTGACACACAGTGAGGATTGCCTTGTATTTCTCGTTGCGCGATATCACCCATATTTTTTGTCGACTTGAACATTTTCAGCAACAACCTCGGAAGTCATCACAGGCTCGCGTTCGTCTTCACTGCAATCTTCAGCAATTGACCAGAGCGCTCCGGAATGGCATCGAAAAGTATGGGGGGCCGATACAATGCCTCCTCGCGACGCAGGAAAATGATGTGCAGGCAGGGGGGCAGAAGAGATTGATTATACATGCAGTTGCACAAATTGGACTCCAAACATACCTAAAGACAATAATAGCCATGACATTGTTAGCATCATTCGCAACAGTTACTTAATTTGATTAATCTTACAGCATATTGACTCGAAGATGTCCTGACTGTCAATGTGAAGACAGGAGGGAATGTGTCGCGACACTGTAATCCGCCTCTTTATTGGCTTCGTATTGTTTTTCCATAAGATCACATGCATGCGTGGCGAGTCGCAATCTACGCCAATATCTGCATCTCTTCGTTGTAGGTATTGTTGTAGCGAATACCCGCACGCCGGCTCTTGTAATTATGCTTGTCTGCTGCAGTCCGCTGGAGAATCAGCAGATGGTCGATACACTCGTCCATTGGCATATGCCTGTTGAGGATATCCTTGGCGGCTCCCCAGCTTGCTTCAAGTCGGATGTTTGTGTTGTAGTCTAAATGCGGAATACTACCTCGCATAAAAGAACACCACAGCTGCTTGCACATCAGCCAGTTAGCCTCGAAATACTCGTAGAAAGCTGGCTTCCCCTAGCACAGCTCTTGAATAGCACGTAAGTAGCGATCCAACTCTCGTTCATCTTCCATCCGCACTTTCATCTAATCAAATTTTTGATGTGCGTCGTTACGAAAGACGTGAACCCATATCCCATTAGCTCGTTTCCCGCTTCAAGTAGTCTGCAAGATGAAAGTGACATAGAATCGCCGTGGCGTCGGGCAGTTCCTCTGCAAGAACGTCGAGCTCGGTAAAATTCTCGTCTATTTTGTTGGTTTGTTGGCATCTACAGCCGTTTCCACGGAGATTTGGATGTGATCCGTCGCGGTGGATG